TCAAAAATAGCGTCTACAGGCGACCGTATCATAAACTAGTTCTAACGAAGCCTTAACACAATTGTTATAAAAACGCAATATATACGCGACTACCCTGTTGAGTTTATTTATTGTAGAAAATCTATTAATTATGTCTGTTGTGTCAATACTTCCTACCGATCCTATCGGATATCGATATCGATAATTCTATCGCGGGTAAATTAATAGATGGCCATGTTCGTTCGGTCTGTGACAACCAATGCGGCCCCTTTAACCACATTTTTGTTGTTAAGGAGCTGCGTTGGAGTTTGTCCTCTAGTTTGTATGGATGAAGTCTGCTGGATTATCAGCACTGGAAATATGACGCCAGGCTTGAGAATCTGTTTGATTTTGTATTTCGCTTACCCGATTAGCGACGAAGGTTTTTAATGAATATGGTGGTGTCCTAATCCAATTTAACGCTATGGTTGAGTCCGACCATAATCTAACTATCTTAATTTCTATGTTGTTCAACGCGCTAATTGTTTCCTTTACCAAGTTTGCTAATAGCTTAGCAGCGCACAGCTCTAATCGAGGCAATGATACCGTTTTTACCGGGGCAACTCTCGATTTTGCACATAATAGACTAACCTGGCAGTCACCTTTGTCGTTAACCGACCTTAGGTAAATGCACGCCCCGTAAGCCGCTTCACTGGCGTCACAAAACCCATGCAGTTGTATTTCTAATGGGTTGTCGATAACCGTTTTCCTCGGTGTCGAGAATGTAACTAATTGTGAGAGCTCGTCTGCCAATTCTACCCACATTCTGTGGATTGATTGGGGAGCCGACTCATCCCAACCTAAGTCAGCCTTCCACAACATTTGCATTATAATTTTGGCGCGAACTATGACCGGCCCTAGTAATCCCAATGGGTCAAATAATTGCGCGATCTGAGACAATATTGTACGTTTTGTGTGTCGAGAATGGCCCTTGGTTGTTTTTATGTTGTACCGTATTTCATCAGTTCTTGGTTTCCAACCAATGCCTAACGCCTTCCTGGTCTCACCTATGTCCAATGAAAGGGTGCGTTCTTGATTGTTCGAGCCTAAGTCCTCAATTAAACCTTCGTCATTCGACGTCCATTGCCTTAGGTGGAAACCGCCTAATTTCGCTAATGCTATTGTTTGATCACGTATGACTAATGCTTGTTCACGGGTGGCTGCTCCCGTGAGCAAATCGTCTACATAAAAATCCGTTTTGAATAATTTCGAAGCAACCGGAAATTTATCTTGTTCGTCCTCTGCCAACTGCTGTAGACAACGTACAGCTAGAAAGGGTGCCGAGGTGGTTCCGTACGTTACTGTGTTCAATTCGTATGTCCTAATTGGTTTATCTCGCGAGTCGCGCCATAAAATCCTTTGATATTTTCTATCTTCACGATGTACTCTAATTTGACGAAACATTTTTTCTATATCCGCCGTCAGGAAATATTGATATGAACGAAAGCGAAGTAATAAATTGTATAAGGTATCCTGTAAAATCGGCCCATTTAACAAAGTGTCGTTCAGTGTTACTCCTGTTGAAGTTTTCGCGGAGGCGTCAAATACTACGCGTATTTTAGTAGTCTCGCTTGACTCTTTTATTACCGCATGGTGCGGCAGGTAGAAACCCTCATTGAGTTCGTCTTCATTGACCTGCGTCATGTGTCCTAATTGTTCGTATTCTTCTAAGAATCCACGGTAGCCTTCTAAAAGTTGTTGATTTGAATATAGCTTTCTCTCTAGCGCGTAAAATATTTTTGGCGCTATTTCCCGTGAACTCCCTAAAAGCTGTGTTAGGGGCTTGGGGTTGATCTTTCGATCGTTCAAGCTTTGCCGGTTTTTGCACGTGTGTGC